ATGTAAAAATATAGAAATAATTATAAAATGTAAAAGTTATAAGAAAATGTGATTTTGCATAACCACGAAAAGATTAAAGAATTAGGAATTTTTATGTTACTACGGTAACATTACTATATACTATACTATCTCTATTTATAAGTATTATAAAAATTATAAATATACTTATATAATTAAATAATAAAACAAGAAATTTATAATAATTCTATCTTATTTTATATATAGTTTTATAAATATTAACTTTTAATTTTAATTTAATAATAATCAAAATACAGATTTAGTTTAGAAAAATATTATATATTAATAAATTATTCTATCAATTTATCTACTTAAGATAAAAATATTAATTCTTAATTATAATTTTATTTAATATATAATAATTAATATATAATTTTATAAATATTAACTTTTAATTTTAATTTAATAATAATCAAAATACAGATTTAGTTTAGAAAAATATTATATATTAATAAATTATTCTATCAATTTATCTACTTAAGATAAAAATATTAATTCTTAATTATAATTTTATTTAATATATAATAATTAATATATAATTTTAAAGTTCTTTTTTTATATATAAATAAAATAAATATATTAAATAGGAATAAACTTGAATAAATAAATTCTTTACTAATAAGTTAGATAAATATTTTTTTAATTTATATATTTTAATATATAATATATAATAAATAAAATAAAATAATAATTTTAAGTCAAATATAAAATTAATAATATGATTAATAATATATTTTAATGATAGTTTATCAGATAATAACTTAGAAAAGTTATTAATAAATTCTTTAATTAATATTATAACTTTATAAAATTTAGTATTTTTTGATATTTTACTTTTATAATAATATAAATTATAAATAATTTGATATCAAATAAAAATTTTATAAATTATTAACAAGAAATATATAATAAATTATAATTTTATATAGATTTTATATTACTAATAATAATTTTAATTATTTTATTATTATAATTAAATATCATAAAGTTATTATATCAGTTAATAATAAAATTGATATAATAAAGTTATAATTTATTAAGCATAAAATTATAATATTATATATTTAAAACTTATATATTAATTTTAAATATATAATAAATATAATAGTAACCAAAAATAATAATTTAGAAACTAAAATTTATTAATAAAAATAGTGAAAATTTAAATTTTCTCTCTATATTAAAATTTATAATTTTATTAAGAAATAATTTTTATTTTTATATTAAATAAAGTTTATTAGTTATAGTTTAATATATATTTTTTTCAGATTTTTTAGATTTTTTCTGAATGAATTACTCTAATTGTAAAGTTAATATAAAAATTTTTACTAATTAAAAATGAAATTTAATTAATAAAAATTTTTGTATTAACTTTATAATTAGAATAACTCTTTCAAAAAAAAATCTAAAAAATCTGAAAAAAATATATATTAAACTTTAATTAATAAACTTTATTTTAATATAAAAATAAAAATTATTTCTTAATAAAATTATAGATTTTAATATAGAAAGAAAGTTTTAATTTTATTATATTTTATTAATAAATTTAGTTTCTAAATCATTACTTTTGATGATTACTATATAATATTTTTTTTATAAAATATTCTTTTTTTATAATATTTTTCTTCTTATATAATATTTTTTAAATATTATTTAAATTAGTTTGAAATTTTTTGAATAAGACTAAAGATACTATAATAAGTATTTTATAATAATTTATATTAATATTATATTATATTTTTTTTATTTTTACTAATATATAATAATAATTTTTTTATTATTAAAAAATTAATTTTAATATTTAAAATTTTTTAACTAAATTTTATTATAATTTTATAATGATATTTACTTTTATAAAAATACTTAAATTTTAATTATTTATATTTATATAAAATCTTTTTTTATAAAATTAATAAAATTTTTATATTATAATATATAATATATATTTTACTATAGTTTTAATAAAGTTTGAATCTCAATTTTATATAATAAATAATTATTTTTTAATTATAAATTTATAAAAAAATTAGAATAAAAATATAATAAAAATAAAAAATTTTTTATTTTATTAAAAAAAAGATATATTTTTAAAAAAATAATTCTTAAAAATATTATTATTATATTAAATTTATAGTAATTTTCATAATTATAAAATTAATTTATTAATTTATTAATAAAATATAATATAAATTAAAATTTTCTCTTTATATTAAATTTTATAATTTTATTAAAAAATAATTTTTATTTTTACATTAAAATAAAATTTATAAGTTATATTTAATATATATTTTTTAGATTTTTTCTAAAAGAATTATTTTAATTATAAAGTTAACTTAAAAATTTTTATTAATTAAATTTTATTTTTAATTAGTAAAAATTTTTTGTATTAACTTTATATATAAATTATAATTTATAAATTTTATTTTAATATAAAAATAAAATAAAATTATAAAGAAAGAAAATTTAGATTTTATTAATAAAATTAATACTTTAATTTCATAATTATAAGAGCTATTATATTTAAAATAAAAAAAATATTAAATATAAATATTTTAAAAATATAAAATCTTATTATAAATATTTTAAAAATAAATTATATATAATTATTATTTTAAATTTTATTTATTATTTTTAAAAAATTATTTGCTATTACTTTTATATAAATTATAATTTATTTTAATTTTTAATTAATAAAATATATTTTTAAAAAATAAATATTTTTATATATAAGAAATCAAATTAATATATTAAAAATTAATTAATTTGAATTATTAAATAATAAAATATTATATTTTAAAAATAATTTTTTAAAAAAATTATTTTTTATTAATATTTTTATTTTTAATAAATCAGAATTATTTAATTTTATTTATTAAATATAAAGATATTTATAAAAAAAATTTTGAATATTATTTTTAAAATATAGTATTTTTATATTTAATAAGTTAAATTAAATAAATTTAATAATATTAAATATATCTTAATAAAATTTTTCTTAATATTAATATTATTTCATATATATAAAAGATTTTTTTATTTATAATATTAATTAAATACTTAATTATATAATATTAAACTTATAATTTTTTGAATTATTATTATATAATTAAATTTTTTAAATTAAATTATATAATTTAATTTAACTAAAGATTATATATACTTAATTATTTTTATTATTTATTAAATTATATGAAATTTTGAATTAATTTGCATATTAAATATAATAAAAATCAAAAATAATATAATATTAATTTATAATTTTCAAAAAATCATATCTTTATTAATATTTATTTAAATAAAATAATCATGTTATTTTAAAGCTTGAAATTTATAAAATTTTTTAAAAATAATTAAATAATAAATTATTAACTTGTTTTTATAAAAACTTAATAATTTAGATTAATTAGTAAAAATTTTTATGATATTCAAGACAAAAATTTATTTTAATATATTAATGAAAAATTTGTATTTATAAAATTAGTCTATCTATAAATTTTCAGCTCAATCAAATTATTAGTTCTTAAGATATTTAATAAAATATAAAAAATTTAATATTTTTTTATTAATTGAATTTTTTCATGTTTTGTTAATTATCTTAAGAATCAATAATCTAATTAAGTTGAAATTTGTAAATAAACTAAGTTTGTTAATACAAATTTTTTTTAATTAATATATCAAAGTAAATTTTTTTTTACAAAAATGAGTTTAATAATTTTATTTTTAATTATTTTAAAAGATTTTATAAGTTTCAAGCTTTAAAATAATATATTAATCATCTTATTTGAATAGATATTGATAAAGATATGATTTTTTGAAAATTATAGTGTTGCATTACTTTTGATTTCCACTGTAACTAGCAAAGAATGTTATAATTATTAATAATGTTTTTAAGAAATTGATAAAAATAATAATAATTTATAATTTTTATGTCATTATTATCACAATTATAAATTCTTTATAAATTATATAAATATATAATATAAGAATATATGTTGTGCCTCTATTAAATTATAATGTTTTGCCGAATGTAATTCGAAAGTGTAATACATGCATATCAGCATATCATCAATTCAAATGCGAATATTCCGTATACTACTGGAAAGAGGTTCATATGGCAAACATTAGAGGGATAATACTATGCTTATCATGTGTACTTCGGATGGTTGTGAGACAGAAATTGTCTTTAGATGCATGCGTAAAACGAAGAAAGGGCGTATCTTTTTTCTTCGCATCAAGGAATTAAATGAGCAGCTACAAGAAAGAGTTAAATTACTTATTTAGCATACAAATAGAATGAATGTTATGCCCCGTATTAAAGTACCTTTTTAAAAGGTAATACAAGTGACAGTCATGTGAAACCCTTTTTAATCATATTAAAACAGAAATATAAATAGATAAGAAAAAAATAAATAAATCAACAATGAGAACATAGCCTCCTCATCTTCTATGAGCAAGTACATTTGTGGTGTATGAAGTGCATAAAAATTACCACAATCCCACCAATCATTTTTTCTCCACAATAACTTAAAAAAAAGAGGGCACGGTTCTCTCGCATCATTTTTCGAATTGTTTGTGTGATCTTTCGAGAATTGCGCGATTTTCTTATAGATACGCATAATTTAAATAGATATCGAGATAGAGATAGAGATATTTATACATATATAGGCCATACCGATAACAATAAATAACCAACAAAGAAAATAATCCCTCTCTTTACACAATTGCTCTCTTTTTTTTCTTTTTTACTACGAATAAGACAAGTATTCGTCGCTTATTCTCATTACAACCACTATTTTAATTCATTTCCAACTCAGGATGGCAAATAACAAATCAAGCTGTGCTCAGGCACCTGGATCTGGATATTGGATATTTGGCTATGGGTCTTTGATTTGGAAACCACCGCCAATATATGAAGATAGGTTAGTCATTGGCGAAATCTTCCTAAACTACGGTTGTTTTATCTATAGGTTCATTATGTATTTAAATTTTAAAATATTTGATTAATCCAGAGTGGCCGGTTTTATTAAAGGGCACGTTAGAAGATTTTGGCAGGTTAGTTTTTAGCAGATCAGACTATCAATCTTTATTTAGCGATGATTGATTTAAAATGTTTATTTGGTTCAAATAGAAAAGTACCGATCATCGTGGTACAGTTGATAAACCCGGTTTAGTAGTAACTTTGATACCGCACGAAGAATGGAAATTACTTGATGATTATGTGAGTATTGTATTAATTTATATTACATTGAACTTTATTTAAAAGCTCTCGCTTATTGAATAATTTATTTCATCCCTGTAGCATTACAATCACGAAGATGATGTGACTTGGGGCGTTGCTTATAAAATCCCTGACAAAGATGTCGAAGATGTCAAAGCGGAACTTGACTTCCGAGAGGTAAAGAACAAAATGATTTTTTGATCTTTTTTAATATTACGTAACATCTTTAAATATATCAATAATATTTCCGTAGAGCGGATACATTTGTCGTCTGATTGATGTATTTCAAAATCAAAGCTCTGAACCTGTTGTAAAGAACGTAAGTTTTTTTTTGCTGGTTAAAGCCTTTCTAACTGTTGAGTGATCAAATAAGCTAATTTAATAATTGAATATTATGAAAAATAGGCGATCGTCTATATCGCGACAAAAGACAATGAAGAATATGTAGGTCCAGCACCCGTTGAATCTATTGCTCAGCAAATCTTTACGTCACGTGGTAGGCAATTTTACAATGATATTGATGATGTCGATGAATTTCATAAATTAATTTTGATGGTTACCATTTCTACGCACCAAAGGTCAAAGTGGTCCCAATATAGACTATTTAATAAATCTCGCTAAAGCATTACGAATCATCGCGCCCGAATCACAAGATCATCATTTATTCGATCTAGAAAAACGTGTCCTGGAATTAAAACTCCAAAAACAATTATTGGACAAAAAGGCATATGAAAAAGTTCTACAGGACAATCAACAAATCCTGAATATTAAAAATGATGCTAATGATAATTTTGAGCTATCTTCTAATTCCGTATCATCAAAATCGTCATCATCACACTCATGCTGCGCGAGTATTATGGAATTCACGAGTTTTACACATGTATCTCGACGAAAAGAAAATAATTTACCAATAACATCATCATCGTCATCCACATTTAGCACCCCATCATTATCGTTGTCACCACCCTCAAATACTCTTGATAGTAATAAGGACAATAATAACATTAGTAAACTATAGTGTTTTTTCTTTGCATTTATTTTAAAGATACTATTATTTTACTATTATTTCTGTCTTTTCGACAAAAACCCACACAAACATTGCACAAACACAAACGAGAGCTATTTATTCATCTTTTTTGGTTATTATTGGTTAGTTCTTATAGAATCATATTTAGATTACTAATACTAAATGTATTTTATTCATTCTTTCATCAATCAATTCACGTTTAAATGCATAAGAACTTGAGACCTCCAATTTATTTGAAATAAATTATGGAATCGGGGAGGGGTTTTTTTACGTCTCGACTAATTAAATCACAAAGACATTGAAAATTATTATATATTATTACTATTATCTATTGATCTACAGAAGATTAATTATGTTTATGGAAAGCATAATTAACGGCAAAAACAATTTGTATCATTCGTTCGTTATTTTATTGTCATTTGATGTTGTTTATTTTTTGTTTTCCATCATGATAAACGGGTGGGATTCGTAATTCCTTTTGCGATGAAAAAGTTATCGAGTAAGGGAATCAACTGCTGTGCAACGGTAAATGAGAATACAAGTTTTGGTCCTACTACAACAAGCTTTGGCGTTAATCCTTTCACAAAGGACGAAAGACCTGTACAAACGGATGAAAGATACTCAAAAAACGTCCGACAGTCCATAGTAATCAAATCATTAATAAATTCGTACCTTCTTTCTTAACCATGTCACTCAAGATCTTCATTCCACTTTCAGGCGCATCAAAAGGCCGTTTTTGAATTCGTGTCTTGATAATGTCTAGTGGTTGCGCAACTGTAATAGAGGCGGTCGCGCCACCAATTGATGCACAAAAGTTTTGAAAGAAAGTTGCTTTGTTGTAGTCTTTCAATCCGAAAATGTATTCTTTAACCACGGCAGATCCACCGAACTAATATTTATTATTCAAACAATGCTATTAGAATTATGAAATCGATTGGCCGACTTAAATGGACATTTTGATATATGACTTACTAAAGCAAAACTGCCTGGAGCATTACGAGCTGCTGTCCACATGCCACCTCTAATTAAAGAAATTATCACCGATTACTCATAGAAGCTATATTAAATACACAAGGTAGATATATCTATGATTTATTACCTATACAATCCGAGTCCTTCATCATAGAAAATTCGGAATACATTACGACCAGCCAATGTCTCTGGAGCGGTCTGACGTTTGATTTTTAACACGTCTAAAGGTAGCAATGCCACCTCACCAACACCAATCAAACTAAAGTCACGTGGAAACGAAATGAGTCACAGTGTGTCATAAAAATATTTTTCAGAATCACAGTGTAGTCTTTACCTTCCAGCAGTAGCATGAATTATCGTTTTCCCCGTCTTTTCTCCGAAAGTATTATAGAAAACATTGCGATGGTGCGTATTTAGGTAATCTTTAACGTAAGGTTGACCACCATATTTATAAATTCGCTGTAGAACCTTGTAACAGGTAGCGAAACCTAACCCTGGAAATAATGATGCGTATTTACGAAGAAGCGAAGAGTTTACATCTTTCTATTCAAAAAAAAGAAACATAATCATTAACATTGATTCATTTGAGAGAAATCAATGCATTCTAAGTGTAATTAAAATAAGTACTCTGAAAATAGCCTCATTTAAATTATGTCTACCCTGTGATAATGGCGCGCCTTTTACAAAAACCTAAAAAAATCAAAATATTTTCTTAGTCTTTGAAAAATTTTTTGGATCAATTTATCCTCGTTTTATAGCGATTACAGCAATTTTCCCCTACATAAAAGCCTCTCTCTAATAAACCGCACCACAAATACCCCTACCCCTCCCCCCCCAATTCGACTCAATTACGAGTCTCACCTTATTTGTGTTTGTCATCAATCGTTTCGCCACTGTATCAACAGGGTGAAACAGAAATAATTCAAGTAACCCGGAGGTTCCTGAGCCAATTAACCGCGCGAGACCTGATTCTGACTTTGCTTTGCCACTTGTTGGTGGTGACATTTTTTAGTCTTTGTATATTTTGAAAAGAAGGGGACTCGATTGGATTTATGTGTGAATCTGGAAGTTTATACTAAGAAAAGGTATATTTTTGTACGGACCTAATGCGAGTACGTAAAAAAAATAGAAATCAAAACAGATTATATTATATATATGATGTTTTTGCGGGGAAAAATCAGATGTTTTATCGATTCGTTAATATCTTGATTTTTTTACATTAGGCGTATCTTAAAATTACAAAATTTTTGTTATGAAGCACAAAAAATTATCTTGCATGAATCAAAAGATTGATCATGGAAGAGATGTTAAAAATCAATGATTATCGATTGTATTGCGATATCGTGCAATTAGTTTTTATATCGTGCAATTAGTCTTTTTTTAAATAGCGTTTATTTTTAATGCATGCACATTTGGCGAACTCGAAATTCAAATCTATGTAACAATCAGAAAACAATAAATTAATCCGGATACAGTCTCTGGATCGAACCCTTCAATCATTTTTAAATTTTCGCAAGGGAGCCCATCGGATCCCATGCAGGTAAAGCAATGGGCTTCTGATCCAAAACATCAACGTATTCTTTAGGCGCATCCTTCTTTTCCAAGACAATTTGGTAGACCCAATCACTGAACCAATCATCAGACATTACGAAATATCCTTTTTGACCTCGATCATCACCCCAAGAATTCTCTACACGCCATCGAATTGGTTTATCATCTTCAATATGAACGCCTAAAAAAATAATAGAATTAAATGATGCAAATAATACACTCATCGATAGAATTTTTCATTTACCAGTAAAGACCATTGCGTGAGTCATCGAACTATCACCATAATGTAATCTTTGCTCCTTGTTCAAGCCAAATTTTATGTTAAAAGCAAGTTCAAAGTCGTAGACCTTGTTATCCAAAATACCCAATGAATAATGCGAGAATTTCCCAACATCTGCACCAAACCAAACAGGTCTTCCCGAACGAAGGACTTGGATCGTGAGTCTTTTCATTTCATCAATTGGGATATTAACATATCTGATCGGATAACCACCGCAAATATTTCCAAGATATTCGACAGTATACAATTCACGGTAAGGATTACGAGGATCATTAACCAAAGAGAAGGTTTCTTCTGCCTAAAGTGTTAAGATTCAATGATCAAGAATAAATGATACAGTCAGATATCCATAAATGCACTCTGCCTTGGTTCCACGCTATAGACTCTAATATTTGAATCTATTCTCTAACTAAATACATGCTCAAGCCCGGTCCCGGGAGTAAATCTATGGAATCTTGAATGTAATCAACTTGATGTGAAATATCTATTAAGTTACCTTATACTGGATGATTTCATCGTAGAATTTCTTTGGAGTCAGATTAAGAAATTGGTGATATTTTCCATCCCTGTCGCGGAAAGTCCAATCAAAACGTTTTGGGGGCTCCCCAAGACAGATTGCCAAAATACGATAAACATCTTCCATCATTCGCACTTTTAAATGACGTAACTTATCGACATTGTATCCATTCGCATGTAAATCACGTATTTTATGAGCGAATTCTCGAAGTTTAGATGTGAGTATCATGTCTACCCTATAAGTATTAGAGGAATTGTAGCTCTCAGGAAATGCCTAAATATGAAATATTGGATTTTCATTATTGAGTCGTAATCCTAGATAACAATAACTCAGCAATGAATCGAATGAATAATTTACCGCTTTAGGAACGACACCGTATTTTGTTAATAGATTAACGACCATATCCCATTGACCACCATCGTTAACTGGATCCTTTAGCAAATATTGAACCAAGCGCGAATCTATGGATTCTTTGCCGGCAAGTTGAATCATATTCTCCAAAAAGACTGTCATCGGTAAATCATTAAGAATAAAATCAACGCAAATTATGATTACACAAATACTCACAATTAGATTTCTCAAGTTTATCATAAAAGAAGAGATAAGGTTGAGATAATTCTAATTCATCGATATTATATCTACGAAAATCAAATAAATAGAGTGTCAATGATGAATTCATAAAATGAGTGAAATGGAGAACTTACCTTTTCATAAGAATCAATCTCATCACGTTTGTGGCGGCAAACAACCAACATCTTCCAGAAGATTTCTGATTTGTCACTTTGGCTTCCAATTCGATTTTTTCAGAGAAAACGTGAATATCGCTAATAGTAACCTAGAAATATGTTCAAGAAAAAAGATGACATTAAGATGATATGTATTTATATGATTTAAATTAACCAAAATAGAATCACCTCACGACTTAGCAGAATTTTGGTCATATCTTCTGCCGAAACCGCATTCAAAGCCAATCTATTCTTGGGTTCCGCATTAAATTCATTTCTAATTTATTAGTTATTAATATTCCATTAATATCTAATTTATTATTCAATATCGAGCAATTTTACAAGATTCACGTAACAATAGCAAGAATTGTAACTTACGAGAATTTTTCAAGGAGCTTAGGAGACACAGAATCATCCATATTGTTGCTGTTTAATAGTTTCTCTGAAATGAATTTGGTTGCCCCAATTTTGTAAACGTTACTATCATATTTTTTGCTTTTACGAGCTTTACTGCTGGCTTTTCGACCAGGAAAGCGACGACGACTGAAACCAAAAGAACGTGACTGACGGTTACCCATATTTTTGGCCCCCAAAAACTATTAAAAAGTGCAGGCGACTTATTTTATATCGGGGAGGAAAGTGTTTATTCCCATTTCATTATATATAAGAGACGCGTAACGATGCACGTACGATTGGCAGAATTTTCAATAAAAAACTCGTGACCGACTGTTGTGTGCAAAAACGGCCTTTAGATTAAGTCGTGATACAATAACAGCAGTTACAGTTCGAGCGCCCAAACCAGTTTTTCAATTCATGAAGCGTAAACAACAATTATATCAATATGCTACTTTGTCTAAATTGGTAAACTCAAAGATTATTTATTATTCTTGTGTAATAGTATATTAATATCCCACGTCTGAAGCACCTGTAGTGATAACCTGTGCATTCAAAATAAAATAATTAATGATGATGACGAAATTCATAATAATAATATTAATAATAATAAACCAGTAATTTACATCATCAATTTTCAAAATCATCTTCACAAGTTGTGTCGCCAAGAGAAATTGTTGTCGCTTCGAAATAAGTGGATCATAGACAAATTTTTCTTTCATGTCTTATAAAAATCAAATTCAAGCATTAGATTAATATTTCGCTATCGTTAATATTATTTTCGGATATTATTAATTACCACAAGACCCGGTGTTCATGCAGTCGATTCCAAGTCGACTATTATTTTCTGTCACTTGCCGTGATTTGATGTTGGATAAGGTTTCAATTGGGGATAATCCTGAGTTTTCGGCCAACGCCAATGGTGTCGCGTCTAATGCATTAGCAAAGGCGCGCATGGCATATTGCTCAATTGTTGATATCTATAATTAATTCAAGAGTGTAATTCATTTTGAGTAATAATAATGAAAGCATCATCACCAATAATAATTGGTAAAGCAGTATCTTTGAATGAAACTTACCTGTCCAGCGGCCTTGGAGACTGCCAATGAGCAACTAATTTCAGCTGCACCGCCACCATATACAACGCGATTATCTCGAACAAGATTCCGTACAACGCAAAGTGCATCATGGATAGCACGCTTGGCTTCATCAATAATCTAGGAATAAGGTAATATTAAGCGTGGTCTGCTACAACTCGAAATGCTTCATATTAAACATTTAGAGTGTAGCTTACCATCTTATTACTACCACGCACAAAAACCGTTACAGCTCTTGTGTTGGAGCATTCTTCAATTACAAGCATTCGTTCTTTTGTTGTCCCAAATGAGATTTCGCGTACTATACCGGCAGTTCCAAGTTTTTCGGCCTTGAGGTCTTCAAATCGTGGAACGATGCGTCCATTGGTAGCAATTGCAATAAGCTATAAAAGTTTGGGACCGAAAATTCTTTCTAAATTCAATGATTTTAGTTGGAAAGTTTTTAAAGAGAATTATTGCCAATAGACTAGTTCACCTCTATTTCAGGTCCACCAACCCAGCGAACAGCCGGCAAGTTATTTTGCATCAACAAATGATTAGCTTCGTCATCGAATCCCCATTGACAAATCACAAGATTTGCACCCGTGTCTTTCACGCGCTTTATCATTTCCTCAAATTTCTCTCGTTCATACTCTTGCAATTTTTTGTACTCGTCCACGGACGTGATATCCAGCTTATGTTTAGTTTTAGGTTTTGGTGGTTCGAAGGGACAAGTCAATATAGCGATTTTTGCATCGCGAATTTGCCGAGGCATTTGTGGATGTGACATGTCTTTATCGACCACAACCCCTTTTACCAGCATAGTATCGGCAAGAGAGCCGCCGACTTTACCATCTACTTTAATAAGTTCAAAATCAACGTCTTTACGTTCGAGATCGGCCACAGAGAGGACGGCATCGACAGCAATTTTAGCGAATTGTTCATGATGTTTAGAAACACTAATCACACCGATTCGATATATAATTGGAAATAGCATTTAGTTACTTTTTCAAAAAATATCTTCACGTGCGATTTTTGCTTACTTACATTTTACTTCCCAAACTTGTCATTGCTGTCATTAGCAAATTATTGGTATCTTCTTTTCTGAATTCAACAACATCTGAGATTTTGTCTAAATGAGCCACAGCCACGTCACAAGCTCTTTGAAACCCGTCAGCTATTCTAATGGGATGAATTCCACGATTTAAGAGATTTTCCGTTTGCTCTAGCAAAGCACCGGCAAGAACTGGTTTTTTTTATTTGATTCATTTAATATCATTATCATGATTAAATAATAATCGGAAAAATGTAAAAAAAAATAAATAAAAAAAAGAGTAACAAACCAACAACGCCTGTTGTTCCATCTCCAACTTCATCATCTTGGGATTTTGAAAGTTGTACTAACAGTTTTGCAATTTGATGCTCAACTTCCATTTGACTTAAAATCGTGGCGCCATCATTAGTCACTGTGATATCACCATCTGGAGATATTAGGATTTTGTCAAGACCTAGTAAAAAGAAATTCGTAAAAAGAAAAGCATTAGATAACGCGTGTCCAACAAAAAATATCGCGCATTATTCCATACCCTTTGGGCCCAATGAAGTCTTTATGATATTTGCCACAGTCTTGGCCGCTAATATGTGAGACTGTTTAATGAGAGTGTAATGAGCTTAAATATTTGTTTTCATATGGTATTAAAAAGTGAAAGGTGAAGCAAGGAAATTAATTGTCATATCCTCGAATCGTAGTTGGGTCCGAGAATTAACATCATGCAGTACCTTTATGGCTTCGATACCACTAAGTCTACTTTTGCTTTGCTGTTCCCGGAGTATAATAAACGGACGACCATATTCGTCCGTTGCATACATAGCACTCAAGTTATTGGGATTCATATTGGGCAGAATCTATATACAAAACAAAGTAGAACGAATCTAAATTTTTTCTCTTTACTGAACGTGTTACAAATATCTGAGAATCTTTGATTGGTTGAAATGTGATGCAAGGACATGTTTTAATAATTAAATTATAGCTGAATCTTTTTATGAAAACTTATAATAAACTACTGGTTTTCAGTATATTTTCAGAATTTAAAAAATTGATTATAATAGAAATTTTATATTAAAGTTTATAAGAATAATTTATATTAAAATAAAATTTATAATTTATTATATATTTTTTTAGATTTTTTCTGAAGAAGTTACTCTAATTAT